TTTGATATGGAATTGACCCTTCAAGAACACATTAATTTCATTATTTGTAAAGCTTTCTGGATTCTAGGCTTTATTAAAAGAAATACAGAACATGTGTATGATACTAAAGCAATCTTAACATTATTTAACAGCCTTGTTAGAAGCATTCTTGAATATTGCTCTTAACTATACCACTATACTGCCACATAGATAGGATAGAACAAGTTCTGCGAAAATTCACTATTTGCTGTTTAAACATCACTTTCCCTACCAAAACGTTGATTACGAAAGAAGGCCGCTTTTATATGGTATGCAAAGCCTAAAAACCAGAAGAATGCATGCTTCAGTTCAATTAATTGATGGTAAGATCGACTGTAGCACCCTATTACAATCTGTTAGCTTTTTGGTACCTACTCGACGTACATGTCATACTTCATTGTTTTTTATCAGGAGACATAGAACCAATTTACGGACAAAATGCATTTATTGACCATATATGCCATATTTAAGGGCCCCACTCACCTCGTTCTTCTTCGCCGTTTTTAACCGACGGTTAAAAATGTTGGAAGGGAGAACGTTGACTGATATGTCCACACACAACAGTTTTTTTCGCGCTAGTTTATCACGATGGACCGTACGTGCTTGTTAGCAGTGGCACCAGTTTTGGCAGTGAAAAAAAAATTGCAAAAAAAGAAAATCTCGAAGAAAATGGACTAAAGACTGGCTACTTAAACGCAGTACACTGTCACAAACAAATTTACTGGAGGAGCTAAAATTGGAGCCTGGTGATTGGCACAATTACCTGAGGATGGACGAGGATACGTACCTATCGGAAACTGTTAAAGCTAGTAACACCGTTAATTGAGAGACATGATACCCATTTATGGGAATGCATCAGTCCTCACGAACGCCTAACAGCTACTCTGCAGTTTCTGGCCACTGGCCGCAGCTACGAGGATCTGAAGTTTTCTGTTATTATTTTACCGCAGGCGCTAGGACGCATAATACCCGGAACCTGCCAAGCTTAATAAACTCTAATAAAAAATCTCTATTCCACTGACTAATATCAGACATTTTTAATATAACCAAAATAATAATAAACAACAAAACCATGATGAACGTCACTGCTACTGATAAGTGCCCGACCAGTCAAACTGTTGAGAACACACACCTCGTGTTTATTCGAACGGTTGGCACGATAACCGTCAAAAATCAAGACTCGCCTGACATTTTGGAACGACGTTCATAAACGACGTTCTTGTCCATACACCTCATTTTTGTGACATTTTTACCCTGACGTTTTTAACCGTCGGTTAAAAACGGCGGAGAAGAACGAGGTGAGTGGGGCCCTTTACAATAAGATTTACTCCGACTATGATTTGTACGCACTAAAGAACAATTTGAAATGTTTTAAATAATTTTGTTTTAATATGTATATATTGTTTTTCTTGTTTTTTTTTATGTGGTATTTTTGTGACTTGAGTTGGTTGATTTTACATATATGTAAATTTTAATATTTTAATTTTGTGTACTATTTAGAATAATAATTCTGTAGTGTACCTATTTAAATGAATAAATAAGTAAATAAATAAATTGTTAAAGTTTTGAAAGCTAGCGTTATTACACTTGAGTAGTATGAGGAACAAACGATAGATGTTGATCTAAAAGCAGCCCTAAATATTTTATCTCATTAACACTTTTAAGAATTGAATTCATTCATATACACAATACTTTTTTTAAAAATGTTATCTCATTAAATAATTTAGATATTATCAAGCCAGAAAAATTTGGATATACAAATAAATTTCTAAATAGTCCAAATTCCACATGACTTAAAAGAATGCACATTTTTTAGCCTGATAAGGTTAATAATTTTCTAAAGAATGGATATTGCTACTAATTATTTTTAAAAGCTGCAGATATGACAAATTACAAAATTTCTCTAATTTATAGTAATTAAATTAATAATTCAAAAGATCAATGTATTACAATAAACACATATTGTTGAATTATAAATGAAGGTCACAAATGTACATTTGTTGTGGTATTACATTAGGAGTAACACTCCTGACCTTTAAACGTAGATAAATATTATAAATTTACATTAATGTTATCAGGGCTGTTCTAGAAGTCATTTTATTATAATACAAGAGCAGGGTTTTTTAACCTTTTATAGGATGCGCCCCTCTCATATCTTATGAAAGCCTCTATTCCTGACCTGCTATAATTTGAGTAGAGAAGAATTAATAATTCATTGACCTTTTTTGCATATCTACAAGATTTTGAGTAGTATATGATTTGAAATATTTATCTTATTAAAAAGAGAACAGTTTTAATTCCAATAACAACTGGTCCAAACTGGCACCAGTTGTTGCTTACGCTAGTTATAAATATCGTCAACATCTGGAGTGCTCCAAGGATGTAATTTGAGCCCGCTAGAAAATTGGTGCAGTAATAAATTATATACCTACTTATGTTATAATAAATTTAACAAAATTAAGGGCTGTTAAACATTTGTATGAGGACCATTTCAAAAAATATGTTTTGAAATATCTACTTTTCAAAATGACTGGGTTATGTTCAAAATTCTCAGGACATCTCCTGTGGGTACTTATAACCTATATGATTTTGTTGAACATTTAAACCTGAACTTTCTCTCCACTTAACATTCTATTATCCACTGCTAGATGTAGTCATGTCATTCTTTACATGTGGCTGCTACCATTGGTGGAAAGGAAGTGTTGTTAAAGGCTCTATATGTGTCAAGAAATGCTTTTTGAACTCTTATCTTGTTACAAGATTGTGTAGAGCTGACCCGAAAAACATTTTTTTTTATTAATAGACATCTTGGATTGTGTAAAATTCGCTCTGTATTAAGAATTGTTTATAGGAGACATGCTATGCTGATTAACACATTGACGGGCTCAACAAAAAAAAAAGATGTGTAAAGCAACAGTAACTTTAGTGTTAAGAATAATATAATAATAAAATCTGATGTGTCCAACACATGACTTTACTATCTAGTTATTACGGGCTTTTTTCGGTTATTTTGTACAACCTATTGTAGCATCTCTGTAAATATTTAAAGGTTTACTTAATATATATATTTTCCACATACAACTAACTTGAAAATTCTGAAAAATTTAAATTTTATAATTTTCCTCCAATTTTTCCATTATGGTCCATTTTTAGGCAATCATGTTAAAAAAAAAACAAAAATTATAGAGATCGATATGGCAAACATCTTTTAATTCAACAATTTTCTTAAATATCAAAATTTTTTACATTTTGTAAAATTTCTCGAATACGTACCATTTTAGGAAAATTTTGCATAGAACAAAAATTATAGAAAATAATATTAGAAGTTACTTTTATTTAAAAAAATTTCTTCTCCAAATGTAAATAACAGATATATTCTATAAAATATAAAAACGGCCTCCCATAAAGTACCCCCCAGATGTTCCGCCTTCGTCCAAAATCTAATCATTTCACCTCAAACCGAAATAAAACTTTAAGTTTAAAATTTAATGTTTTTTCTTTATGGGGTTTTTGAATTTTCTTCAAAATTCGAAATTTACAGATATTCTCAAATATCTCGAATACGGTCCATTTTAGAGAAATTATGTATGGAATAAAAATTATAGAGAATTATATTGCAAACAACTTTTATTTGAACAATTTTTATAAAAAATTAATTTTTTTACATTTTGTTAAATTTCTCGAATACGGACCATTTTATGAAAATTTTGTATAAAACAAAAATTATAGATAATAATATTGTAAGTAACTTTTATTTGAAGAATTTTCTTCTCCAAACGTAAATAACGGATATATTCCATAAAATATAAAAATGACCACCAATAAAGTACCCCCCCAAATGTTCCGACTCTGCCCAAAATCTAATCAGTTCACTGCAGGCCGGAATAAAGCTTAAGTTTAAAATTTGGTGTTTTTCTTTGTATCGGTTCATGAGTTATGGTGGATACAGACACACACACTGACACATACACACGCACGCACACGCGCGCACACACACACACATCATTCCGAAAATAGTCAAAACGATTTCAGGGGACCCCAAAACGTAAAAATCCGTCAAAAACTGGAGGTCGAAAAAATCATGATTCCTATACTTTCCTTATCTGTATACAGATAGGAAAGTAATAAGAAGTTTGAAGTATGTCTTTTGTACTCTTAAAATATAGAGACTGTAATAGAAGTCATTGACCTCCAGTATACCAAATATGTATATGCGTGAATAACAACTATCATAGATGTCATCTGTTGCCCAGAATTACAGTGACTTTTTCTACTAAAAACAACACTAGAACAAGTTTTATTCAAGGAAATACATAGTGTGAAGTAGAAAAAATATATGTATGTTAAGACGAGTAAAAAAAACAACACTTTCACTTTTTGTGTCACAATTTTAAAACATTTACTGACAATGTACAAAAGTTTCCCTACCTAAATACCTAAAAATTCTTCCTACCACAATTAAAGTTCTAATTTGACACCTAAAAGTGTAGGATATGTTGACATAGTGTAGTTTACCTCTAAGGTACTGACATTTTCGTTCATATTTTACATAAACTTGCTGCCATACATCGAGATAGAATAAAGTAGAGACGATATATACACTATTTTGCGATATGGCAGATGGACTCATTTTGAGTGACGGAAAAGTGTAATGAAAATGGCGACTTGAGTAGTTGTACTTTAATTTATTTGAAGACTGACGGAATGAAATTGATTTGATATTATTTAAATGAAGCTATATAAAAAAATGAAATTGATACTCACCAAAACTGACCATAGCCAATATCTCGAGTTTGACATATGACGTAAAAGTGTAATGCAAAGGTGGTGACAATTTATCATCATCATAGCATCTCTTTATTCTAACTCACTGCTGCCATCATATTCCTTGTAGCTTTTCTCATCTACTTGCTCACCTATATGCATCTCTTGCTCCACTTTTGTATTAAACCTATTGAAATGACCAATATATATTTTTTTAGAAGAAGCAATGTCCGTCTCAGATACGCCGATCCCCGATCTGTCACACCTTTCGACCGAAGAGAAGCTCGAGCAGGAAAGGTTGTGGAAAGAAGAGCTGGCAACCATCGAGGATGAAATATCCACGTTGAGGACCGTCTTGGCTTCGAAAATGCGAAGGTGCGCCGAACTCAAGAGGAATTTGGGCATCACTGTGTGGAAGGAAGTATCAGAAGATATAAACCAAGGCATTAAGAATGTGAAAGAGAGCAATGTGTACGTATTTTGGTTTGGTTTTAGAGTTTGGTTGGGTTGTTCTCAAAATAGTGTACTGTCCTTTCATTGGGAGCAAATGTTAGTCTATCCTGGATAGGTTTTAAGTTGAGGAAACAAGATTATATTTTATTAAGTCTTTCAGTAGTATTAGGACAATTAAATCGCAAGAAAATATAACATTCATAAAATGATTAATATTCAATCACTGTTTGTGTATGATAATTATAAATACTATCAAGTATATGAGTATGTCATGAATTGAAGGTGTGAAAACAAGTTCTTTTGGCTCAGTGCATATAAAGCCGTAAAGGAGACTTGCAGTGTCCCTAGATGTACCCATGTTACCTCATTATTGAAGGAGTAGAACCAGAGTGTTAAGCAGTTAGCCTTGCCACTTAAAATGGGCATAACATATTTTTAACTATAATAAAATAACTAGGAACAACACTATACATAATTTCAGACTACAGGAAGTGCACATTCAATTTGTCACGTAATAATATTTATTTTTGCGCCAGTTTAGAACAAGCAATCGGATGTAGGCAATTAGGTACCCAGGCTTTTGTCGCCAACTTTCTTGATAGTGTCTGCCGCCAACTTTTTTGCTAGTGTTTGCTGCAATCAGAAGATTACTTCACCCGATATCGGACCGCAAAACATTCATTGGTCCGATCGCTAGACGGGGCGTGACTTGACAGAGTACGTCGCCGTCTTCACCACTAGAAGCTAAAAATAATTGTGCAAATATTTTTTGAGACAAAGATAACTTTACAAAATGTAGGACATTGTACAATAATCTACAAAAAATAAAAAATAATTTTGTGAACTTTATATTCTTGAATTGATCACATTATTTTAAACTTACAAAACTTAGAGAACTTCTAGACTTCAGGAATCATCAGGTAAACCCGCAAAAAGAGGTTAATCATAACAAACCAGGGTATAGAAAAAACCACCTTTTTCCAGGTTTACATTTTTAATAACAAAAGAGATAAGAGAATGTTTGTTTTCCCATTTGCAAATAAATTTTACCTTCTCCTTGTGAATCACTCACATTTTATGTAAATTGAATTCAGTTGAAATAGTTTGTTTAGATAATAAAATTCGAAGATTGTTAAGTATTTCAAAAAATAAATCAGTCAACATGAAGATATTTTGAGAACAATTCCATCGTAGTTAATTCTTTAGGTAATAGAGTTTTATTTGTTTTATCATTATCGCATGATCGTTATTTTTTATTAGATACCAATCAGTAGAAACTAAAGTTGGTCAAGTTACCAAGGCCGTTACCGATGCTCCCATGTAAGTAATTTTCTTAAATCGTTTTCTACAACTGTTGCTCTGTCATTTTACGTAGTATCTAAGAGCTGGTGACCGAAATACTCTTTTACTGACTATAAAAGGAATTATAAGACCAGAGTATTCCGGACACCTCATCTTCATCTATATAATTAAAATGATGCTATTGTTCAACTTGCAGATATCAAAAAACGACTTCTTTGCTAGGAGGAATAACGGGTAACATTACAACCAAAATAGGTCAGATGCGGCATTCAGAATCTTTCAAATCTTTCGAGGAAAGAGTTGGATCTGCTTATGAGAACGTTAAGGTAAGATTAAAGGCTGAAATTGAACTAATTTAACTTTTGTACAATCGGGTAATGTTGCGCTAGAAAGGATAATCCATCATCTTGGACAATCGGTATGGTAATAGCGATATTATTACATCATTACTATTCTAGAAGTATACGCAGAAATGCAGGAATACTTTCCAATTTACACACATACATAATCCTGTTGCGTTTTATCGGTATGGGTTTTTTACTCCCATTTGTTAAAGTCTACAAAATACCCTGTATCTTGGTTGAAAATTAAGTTTAACCCATTAAACATGAGTTATTTGGAACCACCTCGATGTACACTATCCTCAGTTCCAAAAGCTTGCAAACTGGCTTCATCTTTCAATGTCAATGTGGAATGATAAAATATTTATATATTTTTTATGCATACATAACATTCAGCGATAATTCTTTATCATTGATTGCGAAGGTAGAAAGAACAAAGGTTCTTTATGTCTCACAATGTCATTTAATTAGCGACTAGTTTTGAAGTAGGTTACTTCATCTTCAGGCACATGTAAATGGATAGTCAAGGAGTCAATGTATTGAAAAGTGAAAATATTTAATACAAAAAAATGAAATTTAAACAAAAACAAAACAATTAAGGGTGAAGAAAAAAGTTAATAATAATTTGACTTACCAAGACATATCCATTACGGATTAGCTATATAGGTTAACATAAAAAGTGTTAGAATGGACAGGGTGTAACCAAACGTGTGGAAAAGTTTGATATCTTCCTTGTAAGATATATTGAAAAAAATTATAGACTGGCTTGAATGCCAAATTTTAAAATGACATAAAGGTATACAGAGTCAGATACTAACCAAACATATGTTTTTTTAAACCAGAACACCATTTTATTATTTTAAATTTAGATTTCTCTCATTTCTTACATTTTTCTAACTTATGGTTTGTTTAGATGATATAGGGTACTCTAAAAGAAATATACATTACATACTATGGAAAACATATTTTTTTAAACCTACACGAGTTTTTCAATATAATGTATTACACTACTTTTCTTTAGTAACGATTTTATTCTATGCTTATTAGTATACAGGATGAGTCAAGACAGATCCTTGGTTTTCATGTTTTATTTAAATAGGACACCCTATTTTTATTTCACCAGTATAACTTTCTATAATAAGCCTTCCATTCCCTATACCTAAAGTTAATATTAATTGATATTTGGATATTATATGAAAATTTTGGTGTGATGAATCGACTTTTCATAAAAATGGAGGTTTAAATAGACATAAATCACATTTTATAGTTGCTATAGCTAAACGAGGTGGTCACTGAATATTTGGGTTGGAATTCTAGGTGATTATGTCATAGGACCACACTTTTTTAAAGGACGAATAAGTGATGCAGTATATTTGGATTTCCTTAAAAATCATTTACTAATATGATATTACTCGAAGATGTTTCCCTTCAAATTCGCCAACAAATATGGTTATTGCATGATGGTGCGCCTGTCGATCACACTACATTAATTCACAATTATCTAAATAATCACTTTCCAAGTAGGTGGATAGGGTGGCCAGCTCGATTACCAGATTTAAAAAAAAAATATTTTTTTTTATGTGGCGTTACATATGAAATCAAGTTTATAATATTCCTGCAACGATGAATGAGCACATGAAAATTCTAATTAGAAATGTGTTTCAGAGTATTGATATTCAAATGCAAAGACATTTGAGTCAATCATTTGAACTTTGTTTACAACACTGTATTAATGTTATAGGTCACTTATTTGAACAACTTTTATAAATTTGTTTTTTTTTTATTTCATAAAAATTATTGTGGAAGGTTTTTTTTAGTGGAATCTACTAGTTATAAAAAATATAGGGGATCCCATTTAAATAAAACATGAAAATCAAGGGTTTCGGGTCTCGAGTCTACTATATTATTATACTACTACTATACTAATAAACATATAATAAAAACGTTACTAAAGAAACGTGTGATTGATAATATAAAACTCGTGTAGGTAAAAATAGTTATTATACAAGGGAAAAAGTATTAGATTTTAGCTCGAGGTTGTGTTGTAAACCGTGAGCTAAAATCTAATATTTTTACTATGTATAAAACACTATTTTTTTCTGTGACTTTTAAATGCGAATTTGACAGAAAACTAATGTCAGTGGCCAACTTTGATATGGACTATTTTAAGTTTTTAAATAAACATGGAACACACATGAGAAGGAAGTAGTAAATAAGGCCACAAAAGCCCTAATGGTATGCAGAAACATTGCAGGTAAACGATGGGGATGTAACCCAAACATACTGCGATGGATGTATACTGCAATAGTGAGACCAATTATCACTTACGGGGCTATAGCCTGGAGTAACAGAACTAGTTTAGCTACTACGAGAGCTAATATCTCAAAAGTACAAAGACTAGCCTGTGTTTGCATTACTGGTGCAATGAGAACCTGTCCTACGGATATTATCTTAAACCTCACCCCTCTACATTTGATGATAGAGAATGATCAGGAACGGAGTAATCAGACGAAAGTCGACTTGCTTCGGCACTAAAGATACCTGGGGCATGCCCCAGGATGAAATGCTAAAGAAGTACAGTTTTGTGAAAAACTTCAAAACCACAGAGCTGGGCTGCAAGGAAGAATTCATCACGCTTGCAACCGAAAGACGTGCTATTCAGTGGTATACGGACGGTTCCAAAACCATAGAAGGAACTGGAATAGGAGTGTATGGGCCGATAACCAAGCACTCCGAAAGCTTGGGAAAATACCCAAGTATCTTCCAGGCGGAAATTCACGCCATCGAGAAGTGTATCCAGTTTAACATCGAGAGAAACTATCATAGACAAGAGATTATCATCATGTCCGATAGTCAAGCAGCCATCAAAGCGCTGAGCTCTTACGTAATCAGCTCAAAAATGGTCTGGAGATGCCTAGAACAATTGAATGAGCTAGGCGAGAAAAATAGAGTTACTCTGACTTGGGTCCCGGGACATAACGGGGTACAGGGTAACGAGATTGCAGATAGTCTTGCAAGGAAAGGGGCTCAAACACCCTTTGTAGGACCTGAGCCGTTCTGCGGTATCAGCAGTAACACAATATTCGGAGAGATTAAAAAAGAATTGGGCAGTAGAAGAACCGATAATTGGAACAATCTCTTGGGGCTGAGACAGGCCAAGATACTTCTGGGTGAATATAACCAGAAAAGATCGGAAGCCTGCATCTGCCTGAGCAAGAACAGGCTACGTATTGTAACAGGGATCCTTACCGGGCATTGCCGACTAAAAGGACACCTAAGTAAACTGAGAGTAGTAGAGGATAGTGAGTGCAGATTCTGTGAGGAGGAGGAGGACGAAACCTCCATTCACATCCTGAACTGAATGTGTAGCACTCCAGAATCCAAGGGCACTATATCTAGGAGGATATCAAATAGACTTTCTTGAGGAAATAGGATTGGAAGTGTCGATATAGGCATTGAGACATTTCCTTAGTGCATTGGCGATAGAAGGGGGCACAATAGATCTTTTAGGTCGCAGTGTATTAACACCCCATTTTCAACATAACATAATGTCAGTGGCCAACTTTGATATGGACTATTTTAAGTTTTTAAATAAACAAGCGATTCCCCTACAACGGGGTTTTCCAATCGTAATATTAACACTTTCGGTCCAGGCGTACACTGTAGTGCACGCAAATTTACACGCTTGTAAATATAAACCAAAATCCATTTTTTACCATTTACTCCTACTTCTGTGTACCCTACAGAATCAACGTAACCTAACGTGACGATCTCAAGTTTGAAAATTATAATCGTAAGAAGTTTTTTTACTCTTATTAAAGTCGGGGTCGAAAGGGTAAAAAAAATTCTATATGAATGCAACTTTATGGAACACACTGCATAAACTTTATTAACCGGAAAGTAGCATACGATTTTATTTGACTTCTTACTTCGAACGTTAAACATACAAAGTTCAGTAGGTTCTGATATGTTTGGTGCATTACAATATTACAAAAAAAGTACGGTGCTCAATTATTTTGCCCAAGTTTTTTGACACATTTTTTATTGGAAAGATGATGTAACCACCAAAAAAAAAAAAAAGTATCTGATATGTGTAATTTAGCTGTAGAGTAAATTATTCAGGTAAAAATTAATCAAAGTTGCGAATTTACAATCATTTCGTCGTCAATATCACGAAGTGACGTAACTCGAAAAATTGAGATAAAAAGTATGCTCTTCAATAATTTCACGAAATTGCGTATTTTAATTCATTTCATTTATTAAAATAGCACGTAACTAACCGGTGTATCTGATAATTTCACGAAGAGACGTAACTTTATAAAAATCTTTAAAACGCTCTCTTGTAAAGTTGTGAAAATCGAGTTACGTCACTGATATTGACGACGATTTGTGAAAATTTTAACAATTTGGAAAACAATTTAATTTAAAATTGATTTTTCCCAAACTCAATTTTTTGCAAGTAAATATTTTGCCTTTGATTGGCAGTGCATTCAATCTTGTCGCCATGATTGAATTCATCAGTTAGCCAATTTTCGGAACTGAGGTACTAACTAAATAATGTAATTTTGTGCTTTTAGTAATATCAGTAACGCTCCCGAATTTAGTCCGTTAATATTATCGAAAAAATTAGGAGTTTCTTTCCGGTATACTAGATTAACATGGATTTAAACTTCCAAACTTTGGATACAATAATTATAAGCTTGTTTTATTGTAATTACTAACAACTCTGTTTTTGTTTTTGGAATGTAACTTGTTACGTTCTGTCTAATGTTGCCGTTTTTGTTTTAGGACAATGTAGTGAATTTTTACGAGGTTGGTATTTATATTTTGACGTAACGAAAGTGTCTTAATGCTACAGCTCTAACGCTATTCACAATAAAAGCTCGAAATTACGAGGTCGTTTGAAAAGTATAAGACAGACGAATGCTTAAACAAAAATAATTCTACATATTGGGCAACATTTTCTTAATACGACTGATACTAATGTATGAAATGATCCAATTATTTAGGAAACGGCTCGTACGATATTTATGAAATTTGGTTTGTGTGGATTTATAATATGGCCGATTTTCCAGTGGTATTTACGTTGTTAGATCTTCCGTTTTTCCGAAAAATATAGCTAACTTTATTATTTCATAGCTCACTTTGTATATTTTATGATTTTTAAATTGCTTAAGAAATTTTGACTATTGTTCATGTTGGTTCCTATACCTAAACATAATAATTTCCCACTTATGTTCGTTATAATTTCTTAAACGGAAGATCTGATAACAACGTAACTACCACTTGATGACCGTATTACACAACCTCCAAAAACCAAACTCAAAAAATATCGAGAAGTCGCTTACGAAAAATTTTCTTCTCCAATCGTAAATAACATTTATTCCATAAAGTATAAAAACGACTCTCTATAAAGTATCCCCCCCTCCCAGATGTTCCAACTATGCCCAAAATCTAATCCGTTCAATGCAGGTTGGATTAAAGCTTAAGTCTGAAATTTCGTGTTTTTCTCTATATCCATTCATCGTGAAAATAGTCAAAATCGATAAGGGACCCCAAAACGTAAAAATCCGTCGAAAACTCGAGGTCAAAAATAAAATCATGTTTCCTATACTTTCCTTATCTCTATACAGACAGGAAATTAGAAACATTAATTAATTTTGGGCATTATATTGGCGACGATTTCTTCTTCCTGTCATATTCTTAAGGTAAAAGTGAAACGGGTCCACATCTGGTTAACATTTCAAACCCTTATTTGAATGTAATCTCCATCTTCTGTACCTTCGTCTTTGTCTCAAAGGCAAAGAAATCTTTTAACAAGCTTCTGGTCTATTGGATAGGATGTTGGTACTGTATACCGAAGGTCCTGGGTTCGATTCCGACACAATTCTTTGTTTTTAATTCAGTTTTATTTATTTCGCAAGTCATTAATAGGGATAGACGTTCTTTCACTTCCATTAAATCTTAAATAACGAGTAAGAAATAGTTTTGTTATAGTAGAGGAGACCGTGGGAGGTCGACCTTCACCCATTTGATAACCAGATGAGGCATATTCTTTATGAAATTTCATTGATTTATTAACACTCCTATGGTAACTTGCCATTCGAAAAGTGTTCTTGGCTATTTTTAATTAAATTTTGATTTTTTTTATCTTTTGCTTTTTTGATTACCAAACAAATTTAATTTTAACAGATAGATTTTAACATGGAGAATATGCCTCTGTAGGCTTGTCTACTTAATTCTGTTCATGGCTACCTGGCAAGCAGGTATGAACAGGTTAGTCAATATAGGTACCTACACCCATATGTCAACCAATAAAAATTGATATCAGAAGAGAGATAATTTAATTACGAAAATAATCGTATAGGCTTGCCTGCAAAAAACTGTTCATAGAATACTCTTGCCATGCTTTAAAGTTTAAAAATCGGAGCAATGAAATATGTGCCAGAGAGATAGTAAAACGTGCGAAGTCAGTTGACAGGTGACAGGACACAACATAGCAGCTGCTGTCCGTTGAATGTAACTCAATGCGCATGCGATTGACAGAGACAGTGCTTATTTTGGAGCGACTGACAATAAACTGTATTTCAATTATAATTATTATATTACTATAAAATACCTATACTTACAGGTATATAATAATCATAAAAAAAAATAAATTAACAAATAAAACATACATATTTGAAAAAATATTTTTTTTTATCTAAAAGTTAAGTAAAAAAATGTTATTATAATGGAAAAAAATAAATGTAGAATAATAATATTCAATATATTTATAGTATCAAAAGCGTTTATTTCAAAGCAAATGGAATACATAGAAAAATAATATTATAAAATTCGTAATTATTATTCAAAATCTGAATCATCTAAAGCTACATTAAGATCTTCAGACTCTGACGATTCTTCTTCATTTATATTTGCACGATATCATTTATTTTCAAAGGTGTTTGGTCCTCAACAAATCCAATTAGTTTTAAATAATTATTTTCTAAAAGCCAACCGCAGTTTACAGGGCGCAATTTTATAGTCTGAATCGGTTGCATGAAGCCACATAGAATTGACATATATAATTCTCAAAATGTTTTGAGTCGAAACTTTTCACTTTTTTAAAAAATTCATTATCTTCTTTTGCGGAGTAACTGTTTTTGGAAATGCGATACCTGACATCGCTCACACTAGGGCAGTGCTTGATACCATACATATTAGCAGTAAACCCCTGCACAGCCTTTTTTCATTTTTTCATTCATGAAAATATCAGCTTCGTCAAGTAATGACGCAAACATATTTTGGTACGTCTTATTTTTTGAAAATTGTTTGTACTCTCTAACTTTACCTTTTTTGTAAAAAGCTGCTGTGTAATCACAACCAGTATACGCATGAAAAGCTGGTAGGCTTCGACATAGTGTGGTTCCTAATTTTTTAGCTAGTTCCAGAGCAAATAGTGCAATTGAGGTCTTTTGTGTTTTTTTTTATTCGTGAACTTGCTAGCCAAACTTCCGAAGGTTCAATTTTGTGTATGACATCGGTATCGGAAGATTTTATTAGAATCTTCGAACGCGGTGTTACTCTAGATGCGTGAAAAATGATCCTCATATCCGCCTCTTCATGATCACATATATATTCACTTTCTTAATTTTTTATCATTCGATTTTGCTGCGCTTTATAGGAGTGACCAGTTTTGAACAGTTAAAAATATTTTTTCTTTTTAATAATTGTTACTAAATTGTCATTTTCCCAATAAATAGATAAAAACTGAACCAAGGCCTCTTTGAATAATACTCAGAGGTGTTGTCACAAAATAATTTTCAACAACAATTAAGCACTGTCTCTGTCAATCGCATCGCAATTACATTCAACGGACATGTCGCGCGTAGTTGCTATCTTGTGCCCTGTTTGATCACACAGTCTTCGCACGTTTTACTTTCTCTCTCGCACATATTTAATTGCTCCGATTTTAAAACTTTAAAGCATGGCAAGAGTATTCCATGAACAGTTTTTTGCAGGCAAGCCTATACGATTATTTTCGTAATTAAATTATCTCTCTTCTGATATCAATTTTTATTGGCTGGCATATGGGTTACCTATATTAACTACCCTGTTCATACCTGCTTGCCAGGTAGCCATGAACAGAAATAAGTAGACAAGCCAACCGAGGCATATTCTCCATGTTAAAATCTATCTGTTAAAATTAAATTTGTTCGGTTATCAGAAAAGTGATTAAATTGATTAAAATTTATTTAATTAAAAATAGCCATGAACAGTTTTCGAATGGCAAGTTCCCATAGGAGTGTTAATCTGGTTATCAGATGGGCGAAGGTCGACCTCCTACGGTCTCTTAGACTATTAAGATTGATGTAACATTCGTTTTTCATATTTGGTTTCCGTATTGGAAAAATGAAAAAACGAATTTTTATGAATATGTCGCAGAAAAATCGATTTCGGAAATTGAATACCAAAAACGAATATTTGCGGCCGCCTAAAACATTAACCCCAAATGGCAAAACATCAGGGATATTTACCATACTTTTCAAACGACATTCGCATTTTGCTATCGTATCGTTACATGTGCTTAAAAATAATATTTGTTGGGATAGGATTTTTTTTTATGTTTCCGTGATTGATAAAAATATTGCAAACGATTGCAAAAGAATGTTTAAACTCGTATTTTTAGTTAGTTTGATTTTTTTGATATTTACTTCATGAAAATATATATCGTTTAAAAACAAATCTACGGTAGATTTTCACAAAATGAAAAATAGTTTACTATTAATTTCTATTTTTAGATTAAAATTTTTCCTTTTAGGAAAATGTTGGCGAAAATTAATAAACTTTTAACGCTTTGAATGTCACTAAAATAACGCTTGCATGGCAATGTGGAGAAATTTTCCAGTTTACTTAAAAGCATTATTGTATTTATTTAAAATAATATATGCAAAATGCGTTTTTTCAATAATAATGCTTATCTAACATGTAGTTAGTGATAATTAAAAAAATATATCGTTTTTATCGTTTATATACACAATTTGTAAAGGTTGTATGGAAAAGTTTTTTGCGTTTATTTTAATTACGAGGGTGTGTAAAAACCACGTTTATATTTCAATATAGAGCTTTTAGACAAACATTGAAATTCTTTACTAAGTTTTATTTTTTTGTTATTATACCCAAACACTTTATCTTGTTAGTTTCTTTAATAGTAATATCAGATTAATTTATTTTTATACAAGAAAACCTAAGGTTATTTATTAGTATCGTTCATTGACAAAGCTAAGTAAAATGTAATATCGGCTTTCACGAATAATTTCTTTCTTTATTTTCATTTTTGACTTTCTCGGGTTTTTCCTTTAAAAAGTAGAACTGTCATACGCATAAGAAATTGAGTTACAATTTAAATTTTGTAATGAATTAATGTATGCAATGAAAAGGAGAGGACCGAGTACGGTACCTTGTTGTATTCCAATTTTAATATCTAAAGGATATATTATATGTATATTGAAACTCGACGCTGCACCGCCATTTTCTCAGGATCAATTAACAAGCCAATGCTTTTTACGTTAGTCTTCTGTAAGTGTTATACACAGACAGTTACCAGTTATTGTCAAGTGTTTTTTCTTTCTAGTTTCATTATTGTTTTAATGAGTTTGAGTTAAACAATAGCTACTTGTGTATTAAGAGCAGAAGGTAGCACTCTGGCAGTTAAGACAGAAAGTTGCCGCGCTCCGCTCCAATCTGTAGACTACCGAATAACTTTCTGTACTAATTACACACAAGTTTTTTTGTACATCACACTAAAATAAAATAATATTAGAATGAGTTATCTTCTATCCTTATAATATTGTAAGTTTATTTGACATAAGTCTACTCTCTGAAGAGTAAAATTGTTTTAGGAAGTCAATTAAAATATTTATCTAAGCTATAGTCTGTTAAAATAACTACTTGCTCTATTTTATCAGTAAATAGTGCACCAAATTTACTTTCCGCTTAAGAGCGCCAATAATGTCAAAATATGACAGCTTGCAGAAAACATCAACTTTGCAGTTACTTTGCAAAGCACAAAAGCCTACTTTCGATAGTGATCGTAGAAAAAATACAATATGCCGCATTTGTGCACTTGGGAAGGAGTAACAAAAGTTTCTTTTGTTTCCCTAAGGACATTGAAAGATATATCCATATAATAATATGATTTAAAAAAAAGTGAAGTGAGAAACTAAATGCAGTTTTGGAAATTCTGAAAATGAAAAACCCTAATTCTCCCTATGAAATTATGAAAATTACACCCTAATATCTACAAAGTAAAAAGAAACCAAAGAAAAATCTGAGAATTAAAGAAAGTAAAAATGCGTGCGACACCGGGAGTAGAACCGGAACCTCGCACTTGGGCCGTCCGCGCGCTAACTAATTAGGCCATATGCTTTGATGTTCGAGTTCGTAAATTTGAAGTAAATCAGACTCCCATCGTTACACACAAATTATCATCCCATCTCAACTCTCTAAATTATTCTTAAAGCAACTCTTTGACATCGTGTATATTATAAATTACTGTCGTTTTACACAATGTCCAAAGGTGACTTCAAAAAGAATTTAGGTTCGATAGGAAGTGTTCCGCTCTACAACTTTGCTTTGACGAAATATTCCACCAAAGTTCGTGGTTTTTATGTAAAATGCGAAAGACCGCAAAATATATACATTTTTTTTGGTGCGCTCTAGCGGCAAAAATATGAAGTTTGGCAAAAAATATATGACATAATCGATGGAATATCGTTTGTTCTTCAAAAAAAGTCCAGTAAAATTTTTCATGAGTAAAATACAAAAAACTGGAGAACGCCGAAAAATTTATATATTTGTAATACTTCCTCCGATCATTCTCCTCTCTGCGTATAGTGAAATTTTGTCAAAAGGGGTCAAAACCTTCATTGTTATCTGGGTCTTTATTCTATACTAAAAAATTCGCCTTAAAAACCTAATTTTATCAGAGCTCGTGATAGCGTCATTCTGATTCAAAGTCTGAATATTGAATAATTAATATATTTTTTGTTGTTTCAAAGTTTTTTGGAATTATTATTGACTCGGTAATTCGTGGGGAAGAGTATAACTTAACGGCAAGTCGTTATGTCGCAAAGGTGGGTATGCTTTTCTAGGTCCCATGCTCCCAGTCATAAAATTTTGCACACTTATAGATATATAAAAAAGAAACATTTTCCGAAAATTTTAACATTCAAACCATTCCGGAACATCTTCAAAAAAGCTCTTTTATGGCGGAGTTTTTGAAGACAAAATAAGGATAAAATAAACATTTTGGCAACAAAGCTTATGTGCGTACCCAGGGTTTCGACGTAATACATAGATGGTAGCGGTAATGCAAATAAGACCACGTTACTATGGAAATACGAGTACCTAGTTAGTGTAGCAGACCGCGTGATGGACTTATCTCGAAATTACAGAAAAACATAATGTAGAGTGTTATAGAAGCGTTTTAAACTAGGCGAGGTTTTGAACATCTCAAAAGTTCTTGGTGTGATAGCAATAAAATCAGCCAACAGAAAGGTTTACTTTGGCGATTTTGTTTCTATTCAATCACCTGTAACTGCACTCTTTTCGGTTTTCAAGTTTTGGGTATTGGTGTCTAATGGTGGTGGTCTGCAAGTGGTCAGGACAAAAAAGCTCTATCAGTTTAAAAGTTATTTAAAAAAAAGCCTGCATCAGGTAATGTAATGCTATACCTTAGTTACAGAGACAAAAAACAACAGAAGTTAAATATTAATAATTTATTAATTAAAACAGAAATACACACGTACATTTTTAAAATAACTATGTAGATTTTTGCTTTTAAACATTATTAGAAAACCTATCTTGTACGCACCTAACAAGTACCTAAACAAGAAGTACCTAAACGGAGTTTACTTCTTGTTTAATTCAGTTACCTACATCCGTTGCAAACTGCGCTTTACTTAATCCGGTTAAGCACTTGCAATCGTCGTCATCCATATTTTCATTGTCCAAATCGAATATCTTGCTTTTTTCTTCAAGAGCTACTACGCGATCAGTGAGCAGATTAATTAAACATTCATTGTCACCATGAGTAAGCTGCCTAGGAGTAGCTCGCAATCGCAATATAGCAACAGATTCCGGGCATGATCGGTTCCCCAAGTTGCAAAATATTCGGTTTTGAATCCATAACTTGAGAACAGCTTCCCTTGAAATACACCGCACACGCAACAAGATCTTTGATTATTTGGCAGTTTGAGCGGTACATTTCTAATGTTTTCGCCATTCCCTTCACTATTTTCAATGTCTACCTCGTCGTTGTACTCATTTTCAATGATGGGAATAGGATCTTGTTGGATATTAGGTTGTCTTATTTCATTGCCTTAAGAATAAAAACAAAGAAGATTTATTATGTTGCTACTATAAACATTGCTTTACTGTACCTTGTTGTCGAAACGTAGCATAGCATTGGGTGCAAATACGTGTGTTTCCTCCAGGCTCTACCCAGTCAATTTCTCTGCGTGTTCGAATATTCAGTAGAAACTGCCGGTAGGTTTCATTGGTCGCCGCTTTTGAAGTACTTTTTTTTATCGATGTACCCATCGCACCCAAAACACTTTATTGGGGCCATGTAAAATTAATATAGATACAAAAAGTGTAAAAATAAAAAGGTATTCTAAGTAATTAAATAATAAACGAATTGAACAGAGAATGATGTAATAAAAAAATATTCTAATTAAATAATAAACGAACTGAACAGAAAACGATATAATAAAAAAATATGCTTATTAAATAATAAACGAATTGAAAAGAAAACGATTCACACTTTTTGTTATCAACAATAACAAGAAAATGTCACTTCTGACAATTAGTCATTAAAATAATTAAAACGAAACGTTGCCACATTGAATTTATTGACATTATACTCGTTTCTAAGCATTTAAAATATTTAAATTTTTTTGTCAGAGACCGCCCAAATTTCCCTATCAAAAGCATACCCTCCTTTATAAAAGTTTTCAAGCGGAGCATGGGCCTGCATTTGGGATAGGAATAAGGGATAACTAAATACTATATTTACATAACTTATGAAAACTTCCAACATAAAACCTCTAATAGCATGGTGAATTGATTAAATTAAACGTCTAAAATGTTGCATTTTTGTTCCCAGACCAAAGTGGCGTCCCGATCCGGGTCCCAACAGAGTCTGGACGAAGTAGGTAGGTCGCGGTCTGGTTCCACAGTCACCAGTCCCACCATTCCCGAAGAAAAGCCATTGGCGTAGAAACGATCAAGAATTTCATCAAAATGATCTAGGTAAACTCCAGCCGAAATGCCTTTAAAGCTTCACAGTCCATAAACGAACGTGCTACTAACTAATTCAAGTATTTAGTTGTTACAATTTTAAATATTTGGTTTTTTAAAGGACAATGTACTATTTTTATGTTTACACTTATTAAAATATATATCATTTAATGAAGAATGGCTGTCACTTGAGTTATCATCGATAACATTTGATTGTAGTTACACGTCATTTTTGTGCTGAACAATCAAATATACATTTTTGTCACTTGTCAAATGTCAGTGCATACCGACAACAAAAATGTCAAGAGTGAAAAACATTAATTTTAGGGTGAGATATTTTAAGTAAAGACAATCAATATTTAGTTGCACAGCGCTATGATCGGAAAAATGACATGTCGAGTCTGTTCCTTTAAAATGGCAGTAGAAAATATTTTTATCACATTATTTGGCTCGACTGAAAAATCGTTTTGTTAACGTACAACGTATGCCCTCGATGTGCGATAAGTATTTGACAAGTTTGACATTTAATGTCTATTGCCATTTCTAATATGCATTTAAAAACTTTTGGCGTTTTATCTGAATTTTTGCAACTACAACGTTAGTGTAACTTATCGAATGCCATTTGACAAGATTGACATCTATAAACCTAATGTCATTTCTAACATGCATTTATCACACTTTTAACTGCTATGAAGTTAATCTTACTATGTTATTTATAATAAACTTTTGATATTTAATCGTACATTTAACAACTGCCACGTTACTGTCACTTGTCAAATGTCATAACTAAATAACGTGTAACTGCAATTAAATTTCTTGCCTAATGTAACTATTATTAAAAGAAAGAAAAAATAAACATTGAACAAATAAGCTTTGGAAGGTTATGGGTCATTTTTAATGTTTAGCGAATGAAATATTTTGTTGATTTGCGCTTCGATCGGGTTCGGTGAGAAGTATAAGAAGTTTTAGCGGAATAGTTTTTTGTACAGGTTTAGTTAGTTTCGAAGATAATAAAAATCACTGTAAAATAAAAAAGGTATTTTTCATATTGTTCTTATAGCTTTTAAGATATAATTATTATTATTACTGTATATCGTTGTAGTCAATGTGTACGTACTCTTTACTGATAAATATAATTTATTGGAATTATTTGATGTTTTATTCTTATCATCTGTCACTTTATATATCACGTCAACTGTCACGTTATATATCATGTCATTTCAATTTTTATCACGTCATCCATCAACGTGATACAAATTCCCCATCATTTTTACCACCATCTGTCAAAAGTTTTCCCAATTCCTGTATATACCTTCGTTATTTCCAAATTTTTGTTCTTCTCTTGATACAGATGTATTACAAAAAACTACAAACATTTTAATTGATTTTGGTAAAAGCCCAGTACTTTAGTAATACCAGTATAAATTTTAACGAGACGTTGCCGAACTGTCGTGTCTTTCCCCGAAGCAAGAAACGAAAGTGGGCATGTGTAATTGCGAATGAAAGCGAAGTGTTTTCTGCATCTCGTGGTCATGGAGTCCATCAACAAATGTTTGGACTGCTAAACATTCCATCATGTTTTCCGGAGCTGATGGGTAGGTAAATCGCACCAACCTAGCAATATCTACTTCATATTCTTGAAGGGTCTCGTCTCGTTTCTGTTTGTGATTCTTTAATAACTGTGATTGGTATAGATGCTCCAAATGTTCGTGGCCATATCGCATATTTAGTCTCTTTTTGAGTTGCTCAAAATCATCTCTCTCCCACGGGTATAGTCTGAAGGACATCTAAAGAGTCTCCTCGAAGGGCGATTGTCAGATTCACTGCCTTCTCTCTCTCAGACCATTCGTTTGCTCTTGCAGCTGTCTTGAACTGTTTAAGTTAGTTGATCCATGACATCTTTCCGTCGAAGGTTGGGGCTTTAAAACGAGCAGAGTTTACAGCTCCTTCCAATTTTAACTTCGACTCCACCTCATGACACTTTATTTCACCGTCCTTGGTCGGGTCTGAATGTGCCAGTTTTATCTTCTTTTCCATCTGTTTTGTTTTCTTCTCTACAGAAGACGTCTCGTTTTCCACAGCAGAGATTTCATTTTTTAGAGAAGACATCAGAAGAAACTTTAGTTTCTAAAGAAGAGATTTCGTTTTTCACAGAAGACACCTTTTCTTATAAGGAGGAAATGTCTGAAGAAACTTTATTTTCTAAGGAAGTAATATCACTTTTTATAGAAGAACCCTCTGAAAAAACTTTATTTTCTAATGAGGAAATATCATTTTTAATAGAGGAAACATCAGAAGAAATATCGGTTTTCATAGAGGACATTTTACTTTCCATATCGGAAGAAATTATAGCAGATGCATCATCTGAAAATAGGAACGTTTCCGGATCCAAACCTTCATTTTCTAGTGCTTTCTTAAGACGTTCTGCCAGCTCTGCTTTCTTCCCTGTCGTCTCCAGATCATGATCTAGTTCTCGACACAGCTCAGACACTTTTAAATCGCACAGTTTTTTAGCCATTATTGTCCACTATTTACAATGCTACTTCTGACACCAATGTGACGATAGTCTAACTTATTTATATAATACTTAAGCACTAACTCACAATTCTAATTTATTTATTACAATTTAACTTTTCAGTTCAATACTTTCTACTAAGCTACACTGTCCGCCGGTAAGTAGGGCTATTTATACCATGTCCAACTCTGCTTCGAGAAGTCTCTAGACGCTCCCGAAAATTCCATCTCCGACTCAACAGTACGCTCCGCTCGTTCTAGCCGTTTCTCGAGCATCAAAGGCATTCCAAGAAGATTCCCTCGTTTCGAGCATGAGTCGGGTGGCAAGCTGAAGGTCGCTTGCTTTAGACAGAGACGGCTTAGGAATTTTCATGACATTATTATAAATAGTCCCGAGTGAGATGAGCAATAAAAATGGCTGCGCCCATAGAGTCACATCATGTTTTATTGATACAATATACACTAAGGTGTATCATTTTTAAGGAACTTTTTTTTTTCAAATAAACAGGCTAAAAACTTTCAGGAAGGGGAAAAAAGAAGCCTCTAAAAATTTGAGCTCTTACTATTATCATTTAGTGGTGCCTGTTCTTAACTTTCCATTTTCCATCTAAATAACGTGGAAAAATTTTTTTTTCTTTTTTCTTATTTTTGTAGCTTGACATTTGAGCATTGTTAAAATAAAGTGAAAAATTATTTTGGTAGGAAATTGAATGCTCTACAAAAAGTTCTAATTTATTTATTTCATAGAGTGAGCCGTTCGGAAGATATTCACACTTAAAGTTGTAAATGCATGAAATTAGGACTCTTATTGTATTAAACTGATGACTTTTTTATGTCTTAAAAATTATTTTCAAGAAAACATCATTATTTTCATATAGAAAGAAAATAACGACGCACAGAAGACAAAAATTCACCAGAAATATTTTTAACAAAAATATGGGTGACTTTGTTTCAAAACAATCATTGAAACTTTTTGACAAATTTGATTTGCCGTACGACTTTCTAGATGCAGATGTCCTAATTTGGCCAGATAATGAAAGTTATCAAGAGAATTTGGAGTTTTTCTAAAAATTGAAAGTTGTCAATGACGTTGCAGGACATGGCGTCGCATTAGTAGAAGAATATAATAGATGCCTAACTAAAGATGAGGAACAATTTTAATATTTATTACAAGTGGTAAAGGAGCACCGACTAAAATATCCAAATTGTAATAAAAAAACTTCAACAAATATAGTTACATCATTTAATTCTGACATTAAAATATCTATTAGTTTCAAAATTTTAGTATGCTAATTGTTAAAAAGTTTTTTTTAATCTATAAAATAATAATTTTACTGAACCTAATTCATTATTAATTTTGTTTAACAGTTAATCAAATAATATCTAAGATGTAATTTTTTTTATTTTAGCTTTCTAAAAATATGCACAAAAACCAGTTTTCTGATTAAAAATAATTTTTAAGACATAAAAAAGTCATCAGTATTAGTTTAATAAAATAAAAGTCCTAATTTCATACATTTGCAACTTTAAGTTTGAATATCTTCAGAACGGCTCACTCTATGAAAAAAATAAATTAGAACTTTTTGTAGAGCGTTCAATTTCCTATCAAAATAATTTTTCACTTTATTTTTACAATGCTCAAATGTCAAGCTACAAAAATAAGAAAAAAGAAAAAAAAATTTCCATGTTATTTATATGGAAAATGGAAAGCTAGGAACAGGCACCACTAAATGATAATATTAAGTGCTCAAATTTTTAGAGGCTTCTTTTTTCACCTTTATGAAAGTTTTAAGCCTGTTTTTTTGTTGAAAAAAAAAGTTGCTCAAAAATGACACACCCTAATATACACATTGGATTTCTACCCCACTCCAATTCATTGGACATAACTAATGTTATCAACGATTTCTATGTTAACGACAGTGTACCCCAGAATATTAATAATGGTCCATTTGGTCAATATTATAAACGAGTTTCGCTTTAGGCTTATTTCAGAGAAGAAATTATTCAAGGGACACTTTTAAAACTACTTACACTTCTCCCGGTTCTGACAACCTACCCAATAAACACAGTTAATCGGCACCGTAACTGGACTGAGGGAGTCTTGCCGGATGCCGGTCTCGGCCCGATATACGGGTGCAGCTTCGGCAGCCCACTACATTGTAGCAGCGTTTAGACAGGGTGTTCCATCTCAGACGAGCCACCCCGTATATTTCTTATCCCACAGTAATTGGAAAAAATTCCCGAAACACGTCGGATGATTTTCTTTGAGGGACATCTTTTGACGTATATTTGAAGCTTGAACGGGAAACCTCCTATGAGGGGGCGCTTCAACTCCTCAAAATTGAAGAGGGGTTGAGTGATACTTCATTTGTAAGGTCTTGGAAGCCTCTTTACAACGGTGTATGAAAAAAATCACATTCTTAAAAAAGTTAATTGTTTTATCATGCTTACAATCAAAAAAATCAAAACTGCCTTTTTAAATCAAATGTTCAAATTGTCCTCCATTTGACTTCCATACAATAATAAATTCTCTCGAACTAATTAAAAAAATCAAAATATTTTCTTATTTTGCCTCCATCTTTTGTTCTTAGAAGGTGTTTATCACGTTTCTTCGATCATTTCATGTATTAAAAATCAATCTGTTGCTACTTTGCTGATTTGCTTACAATTTTAAAAATAAATTATGGTGTACACATTGCAAGAACGTGTTGAGCTGGTTAGCCTGTATTACCAAAATCAAAATAGTGCCCGAGCAAGGATATTTAACTGAAACCATCCTGAACGTAGCATTCGCCATAAGTACGTAATGTAATTGATTTCAAAATTTGTTGAGACGGGTTCAGTAATGGATCAAAAAAGGACACCCATTGGAATTGTGAATGATGAAGGAGCAACTGTGGCTGTATTGGGCCATGTCCAACTTATGCCAAACACGCAATCTGTCCCGACAACTTTCTGCAGTTTCCGGTATTGGCCAATCTAACGTTTTCAGAATTTTACATAAACACAAGTTCTATCCGTACAAAATTAAATTAATTCATGAATTAAATGATGATGATTTGAATCGAAGGCAAGAGTTTTGCCAAATTATGGCCGAGCGTATCAACAATAACCCAAATTTCTTGTATAACGTTTGCTTTTCTGACGAATGCACTTTTTCACTTAACGGAAAGGTTAACCGGCATAACTGTAGAATTTGGAGCGATACAAATCCTCATGTAATTCGAGAAGCTCACACTCAATATCCGGAAAAGCTAAAGGTTTGGGTAGGAATTTTGAGAGACCACCTAATTGGACCTCTGTTTATTCCTGGTAATTTAAATGGCGAAATTATCTTGAAATGCTGGAAAATGCATTTGATCCGTTAATAACAGAAAAATTAGAAAACGATCCTCTACTCATTGAACAACAATTGCATTTCCAACAAGACGGAGCGGAGCTCCTCCTCACTATGCCGCACCTGTTCGCCAATACCTCAATTTACAATACCCTGGTCGTTGGATTGGAAGAAGAGGTCCTGTGGAGTGGCCTGCTC